GTGTTCCAGGGGACATTTAATGCTTCCGTGTCTGTGTGCCTAGGGTAGCATTTGTGCGTGAGAAAGTTTGGTGAACATCAACCTTGTCTTAGTGACAGATCACCTCAGGTTCATCCCTGACGTTCAAGGTGCAGGTGTGTTAGCTCTTACAGCTAACACATTGTCAAAAGATGCCCCTTTGGGAAGGAATTCTGACTTTTAGAGTTTCAGTCCAAAGTATTTTCTTCAAATGGGTTAAATAGAATAATCAGATCATTCTTATTTTTACTCTTTTGGACATTAGTCATGCCTGCTTATTAAAAAACAAAACAGCAAAAGAAAAACATAATACCATCTCACAAGCTGCTTTGGTGTTACAAAATCATTTTTTTGATGATTTATGCGGATTTCTTATTAGGCCTATGAATTGTAGAGCACATGCTTTGCAAAGGCTTTTGATATCAGCAGCTATTGTGTGAAGTTGCTGTATGAATATAATAATAGTAGTAGTAGTAGTAGTAGTGGTTCAGCATGATAAAAAAAACTGTTCGTGTTCTAAATGAAAAATATGAAGATAATCTGACAGAAAACCACCTGCGAACCTGGTCTTGTCTCCTTTTATTTCTTCTGTTTTCTACAAAGGATCTGAGTATTTATTTAAAGTGCTTTAGCAGGATATCCCAGTTAAAGCCTTTGACAGTGTATTTACAGTTCGCTTCTGCCCAGGGGCGATTACAGACAGATTACAGGATCAGGAAGGTGACCGCAGGCGGGAGCAGGAGGATGTGCAGTAGGATTACTGATGCCGAAATGAATCTGGGTGGAGTGACACGTCTGCAGCCGTACAGTGGGTTCGTAATTTCACAAGAAGTCACCTGCACAAATCTGGAATTCTTATCAATCCTTTATTGTAAGTGAAACTAAATTTTAAAGAGAGGGAATACGGAGGATGCACGAAGATCTACATGACAGTATTAAAAAATATCTTTCCAGCACAAAGACATTTAATCCTTGTTTGTCAAACTATTCTGTCTGCTTGAAAAACTGGCCCAGGGCCCCCGGGCTTCAGGGTAAGGAAAGAGAAGGAAATAGCAGAAGAGCAGGCAGCTGCCATGTGGGCTGTTGGATTGGAGTGTTTCTTTTCTAACCCAAGTGGCTGGCCTTCTTCTCTGGCTTTCATGCCAAAGCACAGGGATGTGTCCACTCTGTCCAGTTTTATTCATTCGTTGTTGTAAGAAGTGCTTGCTTTGTGCTCTCATAGTACAGACAAGGGGGCACCCACATGCTTCTCTGCTGGCTTTTTGTTCAGCACTCAGGCTCTCGTACACAGTAGCCACTGTGTCCTGGTGTCTGTCTACAGCAGGAGATTCGGGTGTTTTGGGTCATCTCGCCCCCCACCAAGCCCTGAGCTTCAGGGCTGATATGCCCCTGAAATGCTCTGCTTCCTGCAATTCGAATATTTCCATCAACTTGATCTATTTCTTGGTAAATTCCATTTGACTTAAGAGAATGTGTCTGAAAAGTTTTCTCAAAACCCTCATTACAAATATACGGTACCTTCAATCTACTGATCTTGTCTTAAATATCCGGTCCTGGAGGAGGAGCCCCGCAAGAATGAAGTGATGAGCCCTGTGGGAGGTCCAACAAGAATGGGAGTCCCGTTTCAAGTTGGAAGTGTATCAGACTGATAACACGTGGTGTGAGATTCTCCTGAACTCATTTTGGGAATTCCGAATTCACTTAAGTGCCAAGAATCAGAACGTGGCTTTTACCGAGAGGCATGGTAAAAGCAAACGTAACAGTCTCAACAAAGTGTCTTAGGATACTTAGCTTACACATTTAAAAAATTAATTCTATATTAACTGAAGCACAGCTAAGTAGAAAAGTTCTGGACCAGTGAAAAATGAAAACCCCCTTCCCTGCTCCCGGCTTTTATCCTCACTCAAGCTCTCACTGCCCTCCCCCTTCCCTGTGTCCGCATGCAGTCTTTCAAAACGTGCATCTTTGGTCTTTGTGTGTATCTTCATGTGATCTTAGATTTACAAAAGGGTATTAGTACACTAAGATGTCTCATTTTGCTGCTTCTTTAGTCACTTGTCCTTTAAGATCCACGTGCTTTGTTCTCCGGGCCCTGTTGGCCCCGAGCACTGCCTAGCGCTACATGGTGGTCACTGTACGCCACATTCACATCACTGCAGTGACCGCACACACGCAAGCTCCAGTTCTGAAAGGACCGCATGACACTTTTTTTAATTGGGGTTATTTGTGTGTCAACTCGGCGTTTCAGTGCTGCACTGAAAAATTTTAGCAACAACATGTACACCATCAACTAAACTAAAATATGAAATTTGATGGACAGATACACACCAGAGAAACACCCCTTATTCAGAGCCACTTCAGAGAGAGCTGTAACCACACTGGTGATTTTCGTTCAGGAAAACATTCAGTGTGGCTCGGTGGCCGAGTCGGGCCCGGTGTCATGTTCGCCCTGTCATCTTTGTGAGCCACAGCTCCAGGAAGACACTGCGACACTCCACCTTGCCACATAGTAGTTCTGGCTCCACATCGAGCCTCTGAGCAGAGTAAACGTGCAAAAGTGGCTGGTGCCCTTGACATTGGTGGTGAGATGGCATGGCAGAGTGGGCGGAAGCGGGCAAACCCAGTTTGTGCCCTGTGAACGTTCACAAGTTAGACGCATGGCACTAGAAGCCTTATGTGACTGAAATTTTTTTTCCAGCCACTGGCTGAGGAAACACCACCACCGTACAAATACCGCGCTCATTCAGAATTATCATACCTCTTTGCTGAAAAGTCTGATAACCTCGACAGGCCATCGATACACTCTCCCTACATTCCGAGGCCTTGCTGACCCCACTGTTTTGCACTGATAAGAGCTGGAACGGAAGCAGCATCTTAGGCTCAGTAGAGCCCGGATTTGCATTCTTGCTTCTCACTTCTTAGCTGGGTGACCTTGAGGACGTGCCCTAAATTCTCTCTTCTTTGAGATGGCCTGGTCTGTAAACAGATGCGATGTGTGATGTGTTTGGTGTGAGGACTGGATGAGGTGGCACGTGTGAAACACTTGGGAGCATGGGAGGCTCGTAGCGAGCACCGGCTCGGTGCTGTCCTTCACCCCTCTGTGCTCCTCCTCTCCCTCCCATCCAGGCCTTCCCACCAACAATGCACACCTGTCCGCTTCCTGGCGCTTTCTGTCATTTCTCCACCCGGGTTACACTCCTCTCTCCCCTGTCCACCTAAATCCTTCCTGCTCTTGCCCGGTCCCTACAGCAGCGATTTTTCAACCTGCGTGCCGTGGCAGGCACCCTGGTGTGCCACGAGGATTTTTAAAACACGCAGTACCTGAGACCTTTTTCCTTAGATTGTCAAATAAAATAATGATAACATTAATAGTCATCTGGCATCAGTGAATCAAAATGATACCTATTTTTTGGTTGGATGAGCAAAAAATATAGTACTTGGAATACTGCAGAATTGTAGTAAATTAGTTCGTGTGTGCCGTGAGATAAAAAAGGTTGACAATCGCGGCCCTGGAGCATGGCCCTGGCAGTTCCTCTGTGTCCCTTCACGTTCCCCTCACCCGGGCCTGGCACCTCTCCCGCCGCCTGCATCTCTCCACCTGTTTCACGTGCGTTCATCTTACCTCCTAAAGGTCACTCAAAGCTCTAGAGAGCGGAGGCCTTTCTGTCGTCATTTTGTTCCATGGAAAAGAAAATCTCTGACATCGATACCAGGAATAGTTGTGCTTTTTAAAACCCGTTGACTTAGCCCTGACTGCTGTGGCTCAGTCGGCTGGTCCCCCAAAGCGCAAGGTCGCTGGTCCCATTGTGGGTCAGGGCACAGGCCTGGCTTGCGGGTGCAGAGGCTGCCGGTGGATGATGCTCCTCTCTCACATCGATGTTTCTCTCCCTCTCTTTCTCCTTCTCTTTCCCTCTCTCTAAAAATACATAGGTAAATAAGTAAATACCATCGATTTCGTTTTGAGCTTACGAACACCAGATCTTATATCTGCTTGTGTTTTTATTTCCCTCTTTGCACTGACTGCTGGAGAGCTCCGAGCTTAGGTTGAGGTTTCCATCCAGCAGGTACACTGTACTTCGTGGCCAGTGCTTTGTGTACAAATCTCCCCCCGCCCCCCACTTCATGGAATTAACTTTCAGTACATTTCCCTGTGACCCTGCCTCATCCACGGTTTAAGCCCTGTTATCTTTACTTTGTAAGCATCTTACATCCTTTGGGGAACCAAGTAAGGCACAGAGAATACATATTTTAGTCTGAAGGAACACGCAGGGAAGGCGGGAGCCAAGGCTGTTCAAGACAGGCCTGGATTAGCTGCCCCTTCACTACTTGCCCTCCCAGGGGCCTTGGGCATGTTCTGTCCACACTGAGTCTCCGTTTCCTGCCCGACTGAGGAGGGCATGAGCCTCCCTCACGGGGTGGCCGTGCTGTGCACATGAGATCACGTGTGTTAAGTGCCGGACATGGGACCTGCATCTGGATGCTGCCATTGGATATTAGTCCTTTCTTGTATCTTCCAGTGCGTCTTTAAAGAGTAAGCTACTCCGCCCTGGCCTGTGTGGCTCAGTTGGTTGGGTGACAACCGGCAAACCACAAGGTCATGGTCCGATTCCTGGTCAGGGCACAGGCCTGGGTTGCGAGTTCAGTCCCCAGTCCCCAGTCGGGGGGTCCAAAAAGACAACCAGTGTGCCCCAAAAGACAACCAGTCGATGTTTCCCTCTTCCATCAGTATGTCTCTCCCTCTACTTCTCCCTCCCTTCCCCTCTCTCTAAAAAATAAAACAAAAGAAAATATTTGAAACAGAATGCTGGATCCCTGGCTGTCGGAGAGTTAGGATTTGATCTGATAAAGGCTCCCTGGCGCGCACCATTTGCTGCCTGGCAGTCAGAATTCCCTCCGCCGCTCCGCCGGTACTGGGGCTTCGCGTGCGGGCTACTCTCTGCTCTCCGTCTGACCCTGCCGTGGCCTTGTTTTCCCCTCTCTAGCCTTGCAGCGGGGCCTGGGAAGCCGCATCCTGCGGGAAGATGGAAGATCAGATGACAGCTTCGGGTCAGGCTCGGAAGTACGTGAACACCTTCTCCACCCGGACTCTGGTCATGTGAGACGCTCCCACAGAAGCATTACGGTTTCAGAACACTGCAGGTCTGCTCGGGGCGCGCCCATTCCCCTGCGCGGGACTCTTCGTGAATGGGAGAAGAACCTATTTTTGTTGTGGTACAACAGTTGAGAGCGGCACCAAGTGCAGTTTAGTTGGACGAAGTCTTATCGGATTTCACCCAACTAAAATGATTTTTTAAAAAATAAGTAACAGCCTTACCTAAATTATTAGGTAATGAATTGTAGTCAGTTGTTAATATCGTAGTGAAGATTTTTTTAAAACATGAAGCAATTTACCTGTGTTCTAGAAGATCTAACAGAACCATATTTTTTCACAATGAGGTTTTTGAAATTTTACGCACAAGACCATCCTTTAATAGTTCACTTTTCTCAGTCACTAAACACGATGCATTACTATAAATGTTGGTTTCAGCCTGTGACAGCCACTAATCAAGATTGTAAATGCTCATTTATGGTTCACAACATGGGAAGCACATCTATTGTACCAAACCATTTTATGAGTTTTTTTGTTAGCTTACCCCAAAAGTTATCACTGTATGAAATAGTTTTATAAAGAAATTTATATTTTTATTCAGTAATTTAATTTTGTAAATGCCAAATGAAAAATACGTTTTGCTGCTACAGTCTTAGCCTGTAGACATGCTGCTAGTATGAAGGTAGTAAAGCTTTAGACAAAGAGAGGAGAACTGTGGTGTTTGGTAATTGACTATGCACTAGTACCTGAAACTTTTTTATTTTTTATGTATACTTTTTTTTTCCTTTTGTAATACATTGGAAAACTTATTTGGGAGATTTCTGCTTTTGTTCTTGGTTTGTTGTTGTTGTTGTTGTTGTTGTTGGTTTATGAGAGCATGTGTTGCACTTCTTTTTTTTGGGAGATCTGTGTCGGTGGTCTATGTTTTATTTTGAGTTTACGTCCCTCTTCTTTAATTCGGGAGTTACAATGTGTTGTTCTCCACTCTTCATGGTTTTCAAGTGCCTGGTTTAAGAACTGCCACGCGTAACCTGTGTTTGCAGCCGGTCAGAGGTATCTTGGGTCTTTTGGAAGGGTTTGGTGCACGGTAGCTAGCCCAGACCTTTGGTATGACATGTACTAATTGCCTCACAATGAAATAAAGCTCTGGTCTCATTTTACTTACTTTTGACGGCTCTCTTACTTGTGATTGCGGGTGTTAGTTATACTTTTTTAAAAATGGAGGGAACTCAGACTTCTTTCTTCTGTTCATGTGCACACCATCTGAATGTCACGGGAAGAAGCCAAGATCATTACTTTGGAGAAAGAAGAGCAGGAATACCAAGTTCAGTAGTTCTAGCAGTACTCGAATTGGGGTAATCCGAGGAGAGTTCATTTACAAGGGTACTGATGCCGCAGATGTGGGCAGGGAGTGGGAGGACCGCAGGAGTAGTGCGCGCCTATGGGTGCCAGCCTGAAGACCTCTGCCCTGTGCAGGGGGAGGGTCGGAGAAAGCAAGAGTCCTTGGGAGGAGCCGTGACCTTTGGAGACCTTACAGGGATGGCCAAGTGTAATCCTTGACTCTCCTTCCCCTATCCCTCCTATCTCTGCCGAGGGTTCTCCTCACTGGCAGAACCAACCAGAAGTTAGAGAGCGCCTGGACGTAAGGCAGCCAGCCAGCCAGCCAGCCAGCTTCCTCGGGCAGAGCCAAAGGACATTTATCTGTTGGGTCAAGGACAGAGTGTCCCGGCCAAGTCCTCCAGCCCAGCTCCCTGTTACAGACGAACATCCCCTGGCTTCCGTGTCTCAGTTCTGTGTTCTTTCCATTGCACTACAGTATCCCTTTCACACAGGTCCTCATAACTCCCTTCAGTCACTCTTTCTCAACTCAGACTGGGATCCTCATATACATGATGTCCTTGGTGTTCCTAGAGCCAAGAATTTGTCACCCCTCCTGACTAGTCTTCAAAACTTCGGTATTCTTTGATCGTATTTCTGATAGATAACAACACACCATCCCAGTGGTAGGAAGCTTTTTATAGCCGTGTGCTCTTCAAGTGTGTTCCAGGTGCTGACTCTGCCACTGACTAGCAGTTTGAACTTGGACAAGTCACTAACCTCTGCGCCTTTTTTCTTCATTTGTGAAATGCACGTGTTAAACAGTGCACCATACAAATATGTTTGTTATTACATATGCTTTCCATAATTAAGTGATGCAGGTCATGGAGTGTTTCAGATGTGCATCTGGCCGATAATGTGCACTGCAGACCGCAGAACTAAACTAAGCGGTCCTACTGTCGCTATTACACTAATGGCAAGGGTGAACTCAGCATTATACAGAACTGAAGTAAATATTTACTTTTCCAACAAGTAGGCAAACCAATAACTAGAAACTAAAAACCTAAACTTATGAAAAGTAGTGTAAATTCAGGTTTTATATACAAATACATTCATATAATTCCCATTTAAGAAGCATCTCTAAAACATTTATTTATCCTGGTCATTTTTGCTAAGTCTTCCTGCTTTCTGCAGCAGAGATTCCAGTAGTAACATAAATTGAAACAGTATCACTTACCACTCAAAGGAAGGCTGTCCTTTTGAGTTACTGTGTGTTCAGCTTGTGTCCACATGTGCAAAGCTGGAAGACAGGACCCACGCTGAGAAGATTCTGAATTATCTCCCAGCTGCCAGTGAGACTGATAATCCAAGATGAGGAGTACGTGCAGTGAAGAACTTTTTTGTTTCATTAAAACAATACTCTTAGAACTGGAAAGGACCTTAGCCATCATAAGGGGCTTCTAATAAGGGACTCACCACATTGCTTTATTAAAAGAAAATCCAATTTGGAGTCCAGCCAGTCTTGGTTTAAATTCAGACTCTGTTCTTCACTGTCTCTGTGACTTTGTATGACTGTTACTTAATCTCTCTAAGCTTCTTTTCACTTACATTGGAGAAAAAAGTACATCTCAAGCTTGGTGGGTATTGTGAAGATTCTGTGAGATACTACATGCAGTCTTGCATCTTTGTAAAATGTCACAGTGACTGTTGATTGGGCAGGTCGCCGTAATGGCTGATAATCAAAGGAAAAATACATGTCTATTACCCATCAGCAGAGAGGTGAGTACCTCTGAGGCCCATGTCCCTGATTGTGTGTTAAGTTTACTCTTTGTATGAAAACTAACTTTAAATCTAAGTTATATCTTCTTAAAATATTCATAATCATTCAAAATATTCATAATTATTCTTTTTAAAATATGCATAATCATTCAATATTTGTAATATTCATAATCATTCATATCCTTAAAATAATCATGTATTGAAATATGTGGTGAATATGGTGTATAGTTTTTCTTAAACTTGGTTTCTAATTTGCACAAAAAAACACTATTAGATAAAATGTGATGTGCAAGTCAATTACACTGCATCTAAAATACAAGTTTTGGTGCTTATTTTTCTCCTTTAATGGTTGCTGTTATAAAGTCTTTCTTATTTGCCATTTTTAGAGGGTAGAATTGAGTAAAGGAAGTCAGCTAAAATGCAAACCTCTTTTTTAAAATTAAATTTATTGCGGCAACATTGGTTAATACCATTATGTAGGCTTCAAGTGTACAATTCTGTGGTGCATCATCTGTATGTTACATTGTGTTCACCACTCAGAGTCAAGTCTCCTGTCACCACATATTCGACTCCCTTTTCCTTTTACTACTCCCCCACACCTCCTGTCCCTCAGGTAATCACCACACTGTTGTCTGTTTTATTTGTTCATTTGGCAAAACTCTTGCCCACAATTTTGCATAGTAATTTTGGGAACTGCAGCAAGAGAAAGATGAACTGTAAGTCTCAGAGAACTTGTCAATGTTTTGGTAATAAATAGGTAAGAATTCTTTTAAATCAACATTCAATGCAAATGTTCTCGATGCTAATGTGGAAATTGGAAACATTGATACTTGCCTTTTGAAACATTTCTTTTATTCAGCTAGTATATGTTCAGCACCTACTGGGTGCTAAGTGCTATGTTTGAAGTTGGGGTAGAGTTCAGAACAACATAGATTAAAAAAAAACCTTGCCTACTGTGAGCTTACGTTTTGCTGGCAGCTACAAATGAGTAAGTGGATAATTACAGTCTGATCGTCACAGAGGTACCAGAGGCCACTGAACACAGCAGATCCGGACCTGGAGGAGCAGCGCAGGTTTCCCATGGATGGAAAGATAAAGCCAAGCTAAAGGAGGGGCACGAGTTGGAGGGGGCAGCAGGTGATGGTAGCCTCTGAAATTTGCAGAAGGAAGCACCCCAGTGCTATAACCTGTCTTATTTCAAATTACAAATGGGCACTCGGGCAGTCCTGCCTGAGGATATCGTCTAGTATATACTTTTCCCTCATGCTCCAGCAACAAGTTCCACACCCTTCTCAGACTCTCCATTGCATCTCCACCCAATGCCCAGCTGATAACCTTGAGTCGTCCATCCAGGAGCATGTAGGGGTATTCACCTTCCCATACCAAAGCCATCCCAGCCCTGCACAGGTCCTGAAGTCCTTGCCTTCCGTCAGGTTAGTGTGGATGAGCACCCCCAGCTGCAGCCACTGGCCAGCCCTTCCACTTGGTCTCTACAAAGCCATCCTCTTGTCTCCTCCAGGGCCTCATCCTGCAGATCCTATCTCTTTCTCCAGCATCCTAACGTCATCTTCCAGAATCATTCTTACCACATAACAGGGTCTGCATCTCCCAGTAGTAAAATACAGTTCCCCTTTACCCCACATCACCGTCACCCTGCCCCATTCATTTGCTTCTCTTCTCAGTGCGACTGCTGGCAGGGGTGTCCCAGCCATGGCCCACAGGCCGCGGGCAGCACAGGGTGGCTGTGAATGCGGCCTGACACAAAATCATAAACTCACTTAAAACATTATGAGATGTGTGTGTGTGTTTGTGTGATTGTGTGTGACACTGTATTTAATGTGTGGCCCAAGAGAATTCTGCTTCTTCCAGGGTGGCCCAGAGATGCCAGAACGTCTGGACACCCCTGGAAGGGATCTTCCACGGTCGTGGTGGCCACGTTCTCTCGTTGCCTCTTCCTGTGGTCCACGCCGCACAAACTTTCATCGTCCCTGCTCCACCGTGCTTGCCCTGGCCCTGTCACCAATGGCCTCCATGCTGACAAATCCTGGGGTCACTTCTCAGGCTTCCTTTCACTTGGCCCCTCTGCAGCCCTCAGCAGAACCGACACCCCCCTTTCTGGAACCATTGTCAGGGCCCCACTCGCCTGGGTCTCCTCCTTCCTCGCCGGTTCCCTCTGTTTGCCGCTTCTCCTGCCCTGGGCCTGGAAGTGGCGTTTCCCTCTGTATCATTTTCCCGAAGGGATTGCATTGTTGCTGTTGCTTTAAATACCATCTTTATCTCCTGGAATTGCAGACTCCGGTGTCCTATTCCAGGTTAACGTCCTCCCCTCACAAGCATCTTACATTTAGTCCAGACAAAACAAAACTTGTAATCTCTCAACACTTCTAGTTTTCTCATTCATAGTAATTAGCCCTAATTTCTTAATCAATGTTTTCATTCCTCAAGCCAAAAACGTGTCCTCTTCCATTTCTCCCTTTACCTTATTACTTCTTACACCCAAGTGCTCAGAAATACCTGAATGCTCTGCCTTGAAAATACGTGCCTATTTTAAACAGGTCCATTTTTCTCTCCTGTCAGTGATGATACTATTAGTAATGACACAGTGTGCATGAAGCGCTCACTGTGGGCTGGGAAGGAGGAGAGAGGGAGGGCTCCTGGGAAGGGGAAGGCGGTGCTGGTGTCCGGGAGGTCAGAATGAGGAGTGACAGGAAGGGAAGCCTGGGGGACGGGCCAGGCCAGAGGCTGCAGGGGGAAGCCCAGAAGGTTCTTCAGAGAAGTGTGAGCTTTGTCCTGAGAGGTGCGGGACTTATTAAATGGTTTTAGGTAGGGAAATAAAATGATTAATTTACACCTGATTTATATGAATAATTTTGTTCAGATCCCTCTTTCATAGACAGTATAAAATTAAACCTCAGGTTAGCAGGGCCAGAGGATTGCAGTTTCAATCTTCTACCCAGTGAATTGGATTTTACATCGTACATTTCCTGCTGCTTCTTCATTTCAAAAGAATGTGCTTTAATTCCAGAAAATCTTCCTGAAAAAATCCTATCATCTGAAGTATATA